ACAACAGCAACGACCACAGCCACATCAACAACCACTACAACAGCAACAACAACAACATCTCTAAATACAACAACAGCCACAAAAATAACAACAACACAGACAACTACATCAAGAACAAAGTGAATATTAACGACAGAGTAACCATAAACAACAACATCAACTACTCATTTGCTGAGTACGTAAGTGAAGAGAGTGCATTCGAAAATTCAAAACAACAAAACGACGAAAAGACAATTTGGTCTATTAACAACAACAACAACAACAACAACAAAGACAACAACAACAAAAACAACAACAACAACGACAACAAAAACAACAATAGCAACGACATCATTTCAAGCCACATTTCAAACAACAGTTTTAAAATGTATAATACTGACTCCTACAAAAATCTTCTCAACAAAAATACAAACAACAAAAACAGTCACAACATCAACAACAACGACATTGTTGACAACAACAGCAGCAACAAAAACAACAGCAACATCATCAACAACAACAATATCAACAACAACCAGAATCTTAACCACATTTTTAGCAACTACATTGCTAACAGCAAAAACAACAACATCAGCAACATACACAAAAACAACAATGTTGACAACAGTAGCAGCAACAAAATCTACCACTTCTACTTCAGAAACGACAACACACCTTACAGTAACACTTTTTCCAACAAAAAACTGATTAAAACATATTACAGTAACCGAGAGAGCGGAATGGGTAGCTTTATTTTCAACAACCATAACATTTTCAAAAACTATCTAGATAGCAACAACAATTACATTAATCTTCAGAGTAACATTAACAGTCCTAACAACAACAACAACAACAACAAGAAAAACTATATAAACATGATTAATCCGACGACAAACAACAACAACAACTATGTAAATGTAATCGGTAACAGCAATAACAACAACAACTTCAACATAATCAATAACAACAATAACATCAACAACAACCACAACAGCCAAAATGATCACCCAAATGATGTCATCATCAACAACAACAACAACATCGTAATGTTAACTGTAAACAGAACATACATAGTGAACCAGAATACAAATTTGCTGATGGATTGTATGTACCAGACGGGCAGCACCTATAGCATTCTGCAGTACCCCGTCCTCTGGCTCAAGAAGCAAACTGTGGTGATCGCTAATGTGGACGCTTCCATTAACACAAGTGGGTGTTGTGGTAACTGTTGTTGTTGGTGTGGTTGTTGTTACTGTGTTGTTGTTGGTTGTGGTTGTTGTTACTGTTAATGATGGAGTTGTTGTTGTGTTTGTTGTTGTAATTGTTGTTGTTGATGGTGGTGTGGTTGTTGTTACTGTGTTGTTGTTGACGTTGTTGTTGTTTTTGTTGTTTTTGTTGTTGTTGCTGTTGTTGTAGTTGTTGGTGGTGGTGTGGTTGTCGTT